TTTTATCCAAGCATCTAGGCTGGTCCCATTTCATGCCTGCTGGTTTTGACGCAGGGTCTTATGCAGCCCATGTTTGCCTGGGTTCCTGATTGTCAGGTCCAAAAGAAATAAATGGAGGACAAATGGGTGACTATGATGTCTGTTAGCATAGCAAAGTGCACACTTGCCTGACTGTTCTCTCAGTACCACAAGCACTTGTTATAGAGTCTGTGCTGGCATCCTCTTAGCTGTTCACACCCCACCCTTACCCTAAACTTCTTCAGCTAATAGTCTTCTCTTCTCCTAGATATTTATTCATATAGAACTCTGCGATTTCAGCCATGCATCCGCTTGGATCTTGCTCTCTTCTCTCTCTCTCTCTCTCTCTCTCTCTCTCTCTCTCTCTCTCGGCTCTGTCTCCTCTTTGCTCTCTCTTCTCTTCCTCTCTCACTCTCCTCTGATGTCTTTCCTTTAATGGCCCAGTTCAGTCTACTGAACATGTTTAGTCTCTCTCCCCCCTCTCTGTCTCTCTGTCTCTCCATGTCTCTCTGTCTCTCTTTGTCTCTGTCTCTGTCTATCTCTACCTCTCTCTGCTCTGGACCCTTCTAGATGTCTCTGGCTGTACTTTCCCTTGTATCTACAATAAAAACCTTCCCCTCAACCAATGGAGTGGTTATGTCCTCATTTTATTTATTGATTATCCTACCTCTACCTCCCAAGTGACAGGCATGTCACACTAGGCAAGCACTCTACCAACTGAGCTGCATTCCCAACCTCAGATTTTTTGTTTGTTTGTTTTTTTGAGACAGGGTTTCTCTGTATAGCCCTGGCTGTCCTGGAACTCACTCTGTAGACCAGGCTGGCCTCGAACTCAGAAATCTGCCTGCCTCTGCCTCCCAAGTGCTGGGATTTCAGATTTTCTTTATAACTATTTTTTTAAAAAAATATTGGCAAATAAATTAGTGGTTTTCAGGGCTGGAGAAATGTCACAGTGGTCGAGAACACTTGCTGCTCTTGAAGATGATGGGAGTTGGGTTCTCAGCACCCACACAAGGCAACTGACTCACCTGTAACTCAGGACTAGAGAGTCTTATTCCCCTCTTCTGACCATCTAGGACAGCGGCACAAGCACTGCACGCAGAGAGCTAGAGACACACACATACATAAATAGTAATCATTTTAAACTATGCTGGGTTTCATTATGATATTATCATCACATATGTCAGTATGTTTAGCTCATATTTACCTTCCCTAATCCTCCTTTGTCCCTCCTCCCTCTGCCACTGGTCCTCCCTCTGTTTCGTGTCACATGCAGATGTGTGTGTGTGCATATGTGCGCGTGTGTTTATATATGTCCTCCTACTATGAAAGAAGACATGTGATATTATCTTTCTTCATTACCTCTCTTGTTGCCCCCTCCCCTCAGCCCATTCCACAGATACTTCTACTTTCATGACGTATGGATATTTTACATCAGAACATCACATAAGAGAGGACATGTGACGTTTGTTTTCTGAGTCTTGCTTGTTTTGCCTACCATGATGATCCCTAGTTCCATTCATTTTTCTGCAGATGACCTCACTTCATTCTTCTCCTTAGCTTCAGTCACCATTTCATGTGTTTAGACACCATGTTTTCTTTATCTGTTTATCTGCTGGTGGACTTGTAGGCTGATTCCATTCCTTAGCTACTGTGAATAGTGAAGCAATAGTACATGGACGTGTGTGGATGCATGTGGCTTGCTGACCGACTCCTCTAGGTAGATGCAGAGTGGTATAGCTGGTTCAGATGGTAGTTACAATTGGTTTAATTCCTTCGCTGTGTATGCACATACACACGCACATATGCATGTATGCACTCAGATAATGTGTGAGAGTGGTACACGTGACCTAGAGATGTCAGGGGACAGTTTTGTGAAGTCAGTTCCCTCCTTCCAGTTCGTGTGGGTTCTGGAGGTTGACATGAGATCATCAGGCTTGTGCAGTAAGCATTTTCCCTACTGAGCCATCACATCAGCTCTGATTATAATAAAAAAAAACCCTTTTATATTGGACTGGAGAAATGGCTTGGTAGTTAAGAGCATTCACTGTTATTGGAGAGGATCAGGGTTCAATTCCCAGCACCCACGTGGTGGATCACAACCATCAGTACTTATGCACTTGATGTATGTACATGCATCCATGAGGACAAAGCACTCGTGTATATAAAATAAAAGTAAGTAAATCTTAAAAACACCTTACATATATAGTGGCTGCACCAGTTCCCCTGTGCATACACTGGTGGAAGTGTATATGGGGGAAAGGAATCTGAGGAGATAGCTTAGCCCACAAAACAAGCATGAGGACCTGAATTCAGATCCCCAGCCACCGCATGAAAATCTGTGGGCCTGTGAGGCAAAGGAAGATCCTGGTGTACACAGCAAGTTTCTGGCCAGCCAGGGCTACATAGAAAATCCTTTTCTTGAAAAGGAAAAGAAAGTGAAAAACTATTAAGGAAGATGCACAATGTTGACCTGTAGATTCCCCATGCACCACACACAGAGGGACATGGAGAGACTAGGGGTATATCTCAGTGATAGAACACTCCCTAGCCTATACAGGACCCTAAGTTACACATTACTCACCAGGTGGGGAACTGTAATGATTTTTATGATAATATTTCCATAACTTTCCTTTGTCTTTTGTATGTTTTACTGTCTGTGTGCATTCAGCCCAGTTCAAAGCACAGACAGAAGTGACATGTTTACAGCCATTAAGCAAGCTAACATGTGCCTCCTGTTCCATGGTTACCTATTCTCTACATGTGTATACAGCAAGAGAACCCAACACTCTTCAACAGAAATCCCAATTTCCAGACAGCATCATATTTGAATTTTATTATATGTATTTGTGTGTGTGTATTGGTGTACATACATGCAAAGTGCATGTATGGAAATCATGTGAAACCTAGACTATAAATTGTATATGTATCTTTGTGTATATAAAGACATAGCACTTATATGGCTGAGAATGCCTCCAGCTCTTTGCCTAAGCCCTTAAGGCATTCATTTTGTGCTGTATCCTTCTCATTGGAGAGATAGCTAGTGTCAAGAATTCTCCTTTGATTGACAGAAACACTTGTCATAGCAACCTCATCACCAGGGCAACAAGTTATCATTGAATATGCAGCCAATCAGAAGCCTCCATTTCTGGGGAAGATGGCAACAGCTTCTAAGTGATCGTAGCCACTTTTGTCCGAATGAGGTGTCAAGGACAGATGGATGTCAACCAGGAGAGTAAACCAGCAAGAGTTCTACTGTCGGGCCACATCTGCACATGCACACATCCCCCTTTTTAAAGATTTATTTATTTCATGTATGTGAGTACACTGTAGCTGTTTTCAGACATATCAGAGGAGGGCATCAGATCCCATTACAGGTGGTTGTGAGCCACCATGTGGTTGCTGGGTATTGAACTCAGGACCTCTGGAAGAGCAGTCAGTCTTATCTGCTGAGCGATCTCTCCCGCACACACCCCTTTTACATCTCATCCATGGTTCTTCTCATTTTGATGACAGAACTGAGAAGCTATGACAGACCCCATGGACACAGAACCAGGTACATTATATCTGACCTTTGAAAGGAAATTGCCCACCTCAGGTTTCTAGCCATGCCTGGGAATGGAGACCCCACTCACCAAAACAGCTGTGTACTATGTGGGTGATGGCCATGAAAGTCGCAGGAACACAGAAGCCAGGTGGAAAGGAAGAATACACCACCTGAATCCACATATGCTGCCATGGAAAGAGACAAGTCTTGTGCAGGGTGTGGCTCAGTTAGAGTTCCTGGCAGGCACAAACTCTGTGCGCAAGCTCTACGAAAACCATGCAGAGTGGTGCTTTCCTGCCATCCCACCATCGAGAATGCAGGAGGGTCGGGATTTCAAGGCTGTTCTTGGCTACACAATTCAAACGTGGGTAGGCTACATAAGTGCTTGGATTTAAATAAATAAATACAAATATTAAAGTCTTTTCATTTGTCCAATTTATAATTCCCCCTGCCAATCTCAATTCTGTATCAGCCCCTATCCAGTTAAAAGACAGAGAGGCCAGTGTTAACAGCTGAAAAGCCTGACAGCTTAATGTCGGTCCCTAGAATTTGCATAGCCACCTCCAGTTGTCCTTTGACCTCCACATGTACATTACACCGTGACACGCACACACCTACACCCACACATGTCACACACATGCAACAATAACGAAATAATATTTTTAAAGGCAGAGACGATAAACCAGGTTCTGTTGAGTCATTTACACACATGAATATTCTGTATGTGGGCCGGAGCTATGACTATCCAGGATTTATCATTTTACTTACTAATGAGAAAGAGGGATTTCCAAAGGGACAAGCCCCTTGCTCCTTGCACCAGAAAGCAGAGCTCTTGCCTAGAACCTCCCAGGAAGGGGTTGGGATCCTTTCTCAGTGACAGAGCTCTTGCTTAGGCTCCCACAGTGAGGGGCTGGGTCTGTAGCTCCATGGTAGACCATCTGTGTAGAACATACCACTGAGCGGCTTGAGGTGTAGCTCAGATGTAAAACGTCTGCCTGCTGAGGCGCTGGAGACATGGTTCAGAGGCAGCATGCCTGGCTAGAATTCCCTAGTGAGGGGCTGGAGGTGTAGTCAGCAATTGAGCAGTTGTCTAGATTTTAGGTGGTGGAGCTGGACTACAGTGTGTATCCCCGCCAAACAAAGAAACATACATGACAGCTGTGGTCACACAGAGACAGTGTCTCAGTTTGCATCTCCAGCCCTGCAGGTGAAGTCCTGACTCCTAGCCTTGCCTCTCCCACCATGATTCCTGGCGTTCTCTCCAGACAACCCCCTGAGCAGACAATCCTCCTAATGCAGAAAGGGCCGTGCAGCAGGGAAATCCCTCCTCTGGGATCTCTAGAGTTTGCCTCTCTTGGGGCCAGATGTGGCAATGAAAGGCAAGGGCCAGGGTACTTATTACCCAAGGCAGGATGGGCCCCATCCAGAGGTCAACAAGAAGGAGTGGTGGGACAGGAGCTCATGCCCAGAACTGAGTTGTGTCTTGCTGAGCCCTCTGCCACGGTAAGTGATGGCCACTCCCCTAGTCAGTGCACCGATGTGGAGGTCCCAGAGCCACTGGATGTCCATCCACGTGCCCCTCAGGACCCAAAGGACCTTGCAGTCTGACTCCCTCCAGCGTGGGAAGGGTCTGGTCTAAGGTGGGACTCTTGGTTGTCTCTTGCAGGACCTACAGGATGAAGAACCTTTCATTTCTCCTTCCTTTCCTTTTCTTCCTTGTCCCGGGGCTGCTAGGCTCCAGCACGCCACTGTGTCCCATGGATGAAGCCATCAATAAGAAGATCAATCAAGACTTCAGCTCTCTATGTGAGGACCCCTCATCCAATCTTGCTGAGAGCCCCACAGATTTACCTCATCCTTGATGGGGAGCAGACCTGCCCAGCTGCAAGGCTACCCTCAGCCCTGTCTACAAGCTCCAACCCAACTTCACCCTGCCCTACCTTGACCATGGTTCCACCCCATAACCTAGCTTCTTCCAACCATTACCCCGAAACCTCCCCACACTCCAAAAGGCCCCACTCTGTGGTCCATGGAACCTCCAGTGCCTGATCCGCTGGCCTCAGCCTCCTGAGTGTTTAGAGTACAGGTGTGAGACACCGTGCTGGGCTCTCTGGGGGCAAAATATTTTACCATGAATATGTGCTGTACATGTCTGTGTATGTGTGTTTATGTATGTGGTGCACATGTGTGGAGGTGCATGTGTGAACATAGGCATGTGGAGAGTTGAAATTGATGTATGTTACCGCCTCCCATACCCTGCTCTGTTGAGACAGAATCTCTCAGTTGAACCCAGGGCTCGTGGCTTTGTGGTAGCCATCTTGTTCTGGGGACTGCATGTCTGTCTGTCTCCTGGATGCTACGATTACAGGTGCCCCCACACCATGCACGCATGCCTGGCTTCTAAATGGGTTCTGGGGATCTTGGCTCTGGTCCCCCCACTTGTGAGTCAAACTCTTCAGCTACCAAATCATCTTCTCACTCTGCTGGGAAGAATTCGACCTCATTGTCAGCGCCAAACCTAAAGATTTCCTCCTGCAAAGATGCAGTTGGGGCACCCTGGTTGTATAACCCCTTGAACCTTCTCTTCTGCAGTGCTAGCTGCAATAAAAAACGTTGGCCTACATTGCTGGACAGTCTCCTCCAGAGGGAAGTTGTCCTCCTGCCCAGAAGGTGAGTGCAAAGTCTGTTGTGCAAACTTTCTGGAAGTTCCCTGAAACTCCTCTGCCTTCCTTGTCTGGGTCCTCAGCATGTCTGTCCTTTGGGCTCCCTCCCAGACTTCTTACCTCCTAGCCCAGCTCCAGGTCCATTAGTCTCCCACTGTGTCATCTTGCACTCTATTTCCATGGTAACAGCCCTCTCATCCCGTCTCTGCCTCTCACTGCTGCAGTCTTCCAGCTTCTCAGGGGCTTTTTTCCTTGCAGGCGCAGCCGTTATGAGCTGCTCCTGTGGCTCTGCCTGTGGCTCATGGGACGTTCGTGAGGGAACAATGTGTCACTGCCAGTGTGGAAGCATAGACTGGACAGCAGCCCGCTGCTGTGCCCTGCGGGTCAGTTCCTGAGGGCACTTGGTTGAGAACTGAGCTTGCCCTCCATGTGTTGCAGAGGGACAGGTTTGGGGATGGGTAGAGGGCAGGGAGCAGTTCCAAGATGAGGGTCTGGAGATACAGAATGAGATGATAAAGATGCAAGGTGAAGTGGACACGGGCCTTGTGTGGCTTCTTTAGTGGAGAGGGTGTGTGTGTGGGGGGGAGGGGAAGTGTGCGTGTGGGGGAAGTGTGTGTGTGTGTGTGTGTGTGTGAAGTGTGTGTCGGGGGGAAGTGTGTGTGGGGGATTGGTGCACAGCATTGTGATTTTTCCTACCTGTCTATCACTCCCTTTTCTTTCCCTTCCCCCTTCCCTACCTCTTTGATAGAGTCTCATGTAGTCCAAGCTGGCCTCAAACAATACTCACCATCACAAATGAGACTGGACCTTGGCAGGACTGAGGTTCCCTAGCTCTCAAGGCCATTTTTCACCTCTGTGGAGGCGATGTCAAAAACCTATTTTCAACCAGAGGCAGCCAGGGCACTTACACACCCATGAATACTAGAATATAAAACCCCAGGGCAGAGGATATCTTTTTCCTTGTGTCTTGAGCTTAGAATAAAGCACAGCCTGGTCTAGCAAATGTCTGTAGAATGAGTGCTGATGAAATGACTCAGCGGGCAAAGCTGCCGCCACCAAGGCTGATGATCTCAGTTTGATTCCTGGAACCTACTCGGTGAGAGGAGAGAGTCGCCTCCTGTAGGTTGTCATCTCACCTCCACACGTGCACTGAGGCACTGTGTACCACGTGTGCACACACAGTGAACGATAAAGAATGAATGAATGAATGAATGATGCAATAAAAATGCCTGTTGAGCCTGGCATGGTGGCGAATGCTTTTAATCCCAGCACTTGCAAGGAAGAGACAGGTGGCTCTCTGTGTTCAAGGCCAGCCTGGTCTACAAATTGAATTCCAGGACAATGTTACACAGAGAAACCACGTCTTGAAGAACAAACAAAACAAAAACCAAACAAACAAAAAAAGAAATGTCTATCAAATTATTAATTGCAGTGGTTAATAGGATCTAGAATTACCTAGAAGACACACGTCTGGACATGCCTAGAAGGGATTTGATTAATTAAACTGAGAAGACTCTGAATGTGTGTGGTACCATTTCACAGTTGAGGTCCTGACTGAATAAAGAGGAGAAAGTGGGAGCTGGAGAGTATCCAGAGAATTAAGGATACTTGCTGCTCCTGCAGAGGACCCAGCTCAGTTTCCCAGCTTCTACTTTGGTGGACAACTGACAGCCACCTCTAACTCATGTGCCCATGCACACTTAGATCACACACACACACACACACACACACACACACCACACACACACACACACACCAGCAATAGGGCCTGTAGAGATGGCTCAGAAGTTAAGAGCACTTGCTGTTCTTCCAGAGGATCAAGTTCATTTCCCAGCACCCACATGAGATCTATCTTTAGTTAGGGTTAGCGTGACCAAAAAGCAAGTTGGAGAGGAGAGGGTTTATTTAGCTTACACTTCCATATTGCTGTTCATCACTGTAGGAAGTCAAGACAGGAACTCAAACAGGGCAGGACTCTGGAGGCAGAGCTGATGCAGAGGCCATGGAAGGATGCTGTTCAAAGGCTTGCTCCCCTGCTTTGCTCATCCTGCCTTCTTATAGAATGCAGGACCACCAGCCCGGGGATGGCACCAGATACAATGAGCTGGCTTCTCCACCACTGATCAGTATGCCTTGTAGCTGGACCTCAGGGAGGCATTTCCTCAACTGAGGTTCCTTCCTCTGAGGTTTTTAGCTTGTGTCAATGTGACACAAAACCAGCCATTACAAAGTTGCTCAAGAACATCTGTATCCTTGGCTACAGGAGATTTGATGCCTCTAACCTGTCCATGTATCTGTACTCATGTGCAAATACCTATATTTAGATACAACATTCCTTCACATAATTGAAAATAATAGGGCTGGAGAGATGGCTCAGTGGTTAAGAGCACTGATTGCTCTTCCAGAGGTCCTGAGTTCAATTCCCAGCAACCACATGGTGGCTCACAACCATCTGTAACGGGATCTGATGCCCTCTTCTGGTGTGTCTGAAGACAGCTACAGTGTACTCATATACATTAAATAAATAATAAATAATTTCAAATAATTAAAAAAAAAGAAAATAATAAAATATAAGCTGGGTGTAGAGGCATGCACCTTTAATCCTAGCACTTGGGAGGCAGAGACAGGTAGATTTCTGAGTTTGAGGCCAGCCTGATTCTTAGTGTGAATTCCAGGACAGTGAGCTACACAGAGAAATCCTGTCTCGAAAAACAAGCAAAACAAAAGCAAACAAACAAACCAAAAAAAAAAAAAAAAAAAAAAAAAAGGAAAGAGAAGCTTACAGGCCAGAAAGATGGCTCAGTGGGTAGAGGGTCCTGCTACCAAGCTGACCCTCTCACACATGTACACAAAATGGAATAAATTTAAATGTAAAGAAATTGGGGCCTAAGGAAAAATGGAGCAGTCGTTAAGAGCATGTATTGCTTTTTCAGGGGACCTGAGCATAGTTTCCAGCACAGATATCTGAGGTCCTCTGGTCTCTACAGGTACCTGCACTCACATGCACGTATCCACACACAAGTAGACATAATTAAAAAAAAAAGCAAAAAAGGCTGGATGTAGCCTCATACTTTTGATTCCAGTACTTGGGAAGTGGAGACAGACTTAGTTTAAGGCCATCCTGGTCTACCTAGCCAGTGCTACATAGTAAGACTCTGTTACAATGAATTAAGAATGAATAAAATATTTTAAATTGTCTTTGATATTGAAAGTTGTTTTTTTAAATTTAATTTAATTTTCTTTTCATTTTACATCCCACTTACTGGTCACCCCTTCCCACAATCCTTCCCCATCTCCTCATTCTCTTCTGAGTGGGTGGGGGCCCCCTGGGTATATCTCCCACTGAGGCTAGCAGACCAGGCAGCCCAGCTAGAAGAATATATCCCAGGTACAAGCAACAGCTATCTTTTGAGATAGCCCCCACTTCAGTTGTTCAGGACCCACATGAAGACCAAGCTGCACATCTGGTACATATGTGTGGGGAGGCCTAGGTCCAGCCCTTGTATGTTCTTTGGTTGGTAGTTCAGATTCTGAGAGCCCCAAGGGTTGACTCAGTTGGTCTTCCTGTGGAGCTCCTATCCCCTTAGGGACTGCACTCTCTCCTCCTGTTCTTCCATAAGAGTCTCCAAGCTCCATCCACTGTTTGGCTGTGGGTGTCTGTATCTGTCTGAGTCAGCTGCTGGGTGGAGCCACTTGAAGGACAACATGCTCCTGTCTGCAAGCGGAACAGAATAGCTTTAATAGTGTTAGGGATTGGTGCTCATGGGATGGGTCTCAAGTTGGGCCATTATTAGTTGGCCATTCCCTCAGTCTTTGCTCCATCCCCAATGCCTGCACTTCTTGTAGACAGAACAAATTTTGGGTTGAAAGTTTTGTGGGTGGGTTGGTGTGTCTATTGCTCCACTGGGGTTCCTGGCTGGCTACAGGAGGTCTCTTTCTTTCTTTTTTTCTTTCTTTCTTTCTTTTAAAAAAAGTTTTTATTGATTCTTTGTGAGTTTCACATCATGCACTCTGATCCCACTCATCTCCCGGTCGTTCGTATCAGCCCTCTCTCCTTGCAACACCATCCCAAAGAAAACAACAACAACAACATCAACAACAACAAAAATTAAATTAAACCAAACCAAACTAAAAACAAGACAAAAAACAAAAAACAAAAAAGACAACAACAAAACTAAAACCACAGTGTGTCACAAAGTATGCCCTTTTGACTACACATCTTTATTTGCAAATATTCTTTGCAATAAGTCATTGGTCTGGTTCAAGGCCTCTGGCTTCTGCTACACTATCAATACTGGATTTCACTTGGACTCTCCTCGGATAGGGTGATCCTCCAGGATTGGCCCCCTCATATGCTCCAGAAGTTCATAGATGGGGTAGATATTGGGGTGGGCCAACTCATAGCCCTATTCTGTGCCTGGGTGGTAGCTGGGTTGGTTAGCTCACCAGCTCTCACCACCTCACCTCCACTGCAAGCCCTCCAGCTCTGCCCTGGCTAGCTCACCTAATGGCGTAGCCCTCAAGGGCTTGCTCCCCACTCTCTCCCTGCCACCAGGGCCAGCTCTACTGTACTGGCCAGTCAAGGTATGGGGCAGCTCTCCCGAGTGCTACAGCCAGTGAGGGGCTGGGCCAGCTTTGCACAGTCCTTGGACATTAACATGGTCCCAGATGGCATCCCAGACCAGGGATCTCTGCATGGCCTTTGGTGTAATATGGATCATAGACATCAACACAGACCCCTGCTTCTGCATGGTCATGGATCCAGACATGGCCTTCAGTGACAGCAAGGGCTGGGGCTTCACCATGGCCTCAGGTGGCACCACAGGCTACCACGTCATGTTCTTCCTTTCCACCCTAAAGTCTCTAGAGCTGCCTCTTTTCATAGTGCTCAAACCATTCTGCGACTGTTTTTCTCCCATCTCTCTGTCCCACACTTGCACATTGTGTCAGACATCTGGGTGTCTTCAAATGTCTGTCCAACCCAAAGATTTCAAAGGAAATAAATCTCTGGCCAAAGTTTAGCACAGCACAGTAAAACTGTAATCCAACCTTGAGTCCTCCAGCTCATGGTTGAATCTCTACCTTAGCCAACTAGAGAGATAGCAGATAGGCCAATGCTGAGACGTAAACACAGCAGGACACGTCCAGTTAGTTGTAGGTCTCCATTCCGCTCTTCTTCCGGGGCTAGTGTGCAACTCAGTAGACACTGAGACTCACACAGTGGTCAGTTTTCTCGAAGGAGAAAGGCATATGCCCACTGCCGCTTGAGTTTGTTACTGGCTGTGGCAATGGAATTCAGAAAGTCCCGGGGAGTCAGAACAGCAGCCACCTTCGGGTAGCCAGTTCCGCCTCTCTTCATAGTGCACAAACCGCTTGGCTTTTCTTCATCTTTCGTTTCCTCACTGCATGTTTGTTAGCTTCTACCACTTACTTACTCACTTCCTGGTACGCCTGTGCCTGGCCAGGGCTAAGCTCAGGATTGTGGTGTTGTCCTGGTACTTCCTGACCACCAGGGATGAAAGTTGTTTTCATACAATATATTCTGATCAGTGCTTTTTTTGGGGGGGGGGAACCATAACATACAAGCAAAAGGTCAGTAAAAAAAAAAAAAGAAAGAAACAAAAACTCTACTAAGTGAGGTTCATACTATGAGCTACCTTTTGAGCAAACTGATTTTTCCTTTGCAAGTAGTTGTCAAGTGGAGATAGTTGTCAAGTGGTTAGGGGTAGCAGCCCATGTCTACTTCCGCCTCTCTGTGCTGGGACTCCATCTGGTCCTGTGCATGCTGCTACAGTCTCTGTGAGTTCATATCTATGTGATTTTGTTTTGTTTGGAAGAAACTGTTTCGCTGATGTCGCCCCCTCTAGTTCTCACGATCTCTTCTGAATCCCGAGGGGGAGGGTTTGATGAACACATTCTATTTAGGATCGAGTGTTCTAAAATCTGTCACTCTCAGCACACTGTCCAGTTTTGAGCTCTTTGTCAGCTCCCATCTACTGCAGGAAGAAGCTTCTCTGATGATGGCTGAGCAAGACACTAGTCTCTGGGTACTGCAGAATATTGTCAGGAGACACTGTTCTGCTGTGTTTCTTTAGCATAACGATAGTATTTGCTTTCCTTCTGGGCCATGGCCAATCTCAGGTTATTGGCCATTGTAGCAGTGTCAGACATAGGTCTCAGATCCAATCAGATAGTATTTGATTACTTCCACAGTGTGAGTCATAGAGCTCGTGGCTTGGTTGGTGGCTACCCTTCTCCTTCGGCAGCATGCAGAGTACCTTCCAGTACCATGGACACTACACAGTAGGGGTGAAGGTTCTAGTTAGACATCAGCTCAACTTCTCCATGCTCAATGAGTTGTGTGTATTGTCTTCATCAATAGGGCCTTACTATCAGTTTGTGGCAAGCAATCAATAGCCTTGGTAGTAGCCTGAGCTGTTTGAGGGTTTCCGTGGAGGCTTTCTTTGCCCAACAATTCAAGTTTATGTAATGCATTTCTGGCACTGGGAGTTTCACTTGGTGGTGAAAGATGTCTAGTTGGAAAATTCTCTCCCCATCATTTTGTGACTCCATTTATATTTATTTCATATATGTATATATTTTAGGAAGCTTCAAGAGGAATAGGTCTTATGTGACCCGTCAAATGGCATTTAGTGTTAGCTGTTCCTCCCTTACCTCCTCTTCCCATCCCGCCACAATCTCATTTAATCTTCCCTCCCCAGTCTTCTCATAACTACAAGTTCTATGTCCCCTTCCTTGGGAAATCTACGCCCCCGCCCCCTGGTCCCTTACTTTACACCTAGCATCTGTCTGTGGCTTTACAGATTGTAGCATGCATACTGAAGGCTCACAGGCTAACATAATACATGTATAAGAGAATGCAGATCATATTTGTCTTTTGGGGTCTGAGTTATCTCACCGAGGGTGATTTTTTTCCTAGCTCCATTTATTTATCTCTGAATTTCATGGTTTTACATTTTTAATGGCCAAGTAGTGTAAATGAACCAGCTTTTTATTATTTATTTGTTGACTGGCATCTAAGCTGTTTCCAATTTCTGACTGTTACAAGTATAGAGCAATGAATATAGACAAGTAACTGTATCTGTAGTAGGATGTAGAGTCCTCTGGGTACATGCCCAAGTGTGGAATAGTTGGATCTCAGAGTAGATCTATTCCTGGTTTCCCGAGTAACTGCCACACTGATTTGCATAGTGGTTTTACAATTCTGTCATCCCACCAGCGATGAGTGTTCCCTTTCCAGCATGAGCTGTTAGTTCTGTATCCTATTTCAAGTTGGGTTATTTGTTTTCTTGATGTTCGGTTTTTCAAGTTCTTTATATATTTTGGATATTAGCCCTTTATTGGGTGTGTACTTGGTAGAAATCTTTCCCCATTCCGTAGGGTGCCTCTTCATCTAAACAGTGATGTCTTTTGCCTTATAGAAGCTTCTCCGTTTTATGAGGTCCCATTTATTAATTGTTGATCCAAATGCCTGTGCTACTGGTGTTCTGTTCAGAAAGGTTTTTCCCTGTGGCAGCCAGTTTAAGGCCAATACCTACCTTCTCTTTCTACCAGATTCGGTGTACCTAGCCTTATGTTGGGGTTCTTGATCCATTTGAGGTTCGGTGTTATGAAGGGTGATAAGTATGGATTTATTTGTGTTCTTCTACAGGCAAGCATGCATGCAGTATCATATCCTCAAGTGTGACCATTATTAATTGTTGAAGATGCTGTCTTTTTCCCACAGTGTATTTTTGACTTCCTTGTCAAAAATCAGTTGTCCATGGATATGTGGGTTTATGTCTGGGTCTTCATTCCCTTTTATTAGTCCATATGGTTGTTTTGTGCCAATACCATGCTGTTTTTATTACCATAACTCTGTAATACAATTTGATAATTTAGGTCAGGGATGGTGATACCTCCAGTAGTTCTTTCAATAAATAAAGTCTTAAAAAAATCTAAGACATCACTTAGACAGAGTATAGATATGCTAAATATGCCAGTATACATGCATATTCATGTGGGAATCCTGTTTACAAACGAGTGTAAATGAACATGTGGCCTGCATCCATGAGCTGAGCTATGACTGAAGGTATTTGAAGGATGGGGTGTTCGTGTATGTGTGTGCATGTGTATGTATGCATATATGTGCATGCCTGTGTGTACGTGCATGTTCTGAGCCAGGTAGGGAAGCAGATAGATGGAGTAAATGCCGTTTTCTCCTGGCTTGTCTTTGTGGAGGAGAGAATACTTGAGGACTCCATCAAGGCAAGCGTTAAGGATACGTGTCTGACATCAGTATTGGATGTAGGTGTAGGGTCAAAGTGGCTTCCATCCTTGCCTAACATCCGCTTTGCTTTCTGCTTTCTGTGGTGCCTCAGAGAGTTCCTTGGCTCCTGTGATGCAATCGGTTAGCATGAGGTACTTATGAAAAGTAGAAGTTGGTTGGGGCAGGGTTCAACTGTGGAGTGAGGCCCGAGAGGGAAGATGTTGGGGGCTGGGAGACCCAGTTATTGTTCTAAAATCAGACCCTTGAGTTCACATAGCACTTTTTTTTTTTGTAGAGATATAAAACAGAAGAAAAGCTGAGAATGTGGGGTGCAATCATAACCCCAGCTGGAGAGGTGCAAAGAGGTTGGTCCTTAGTGCTTGCTGGCCAGCCAGTCTGGCATATTTGGTGAGTCCCAGGCTAGTGAGAGTGGCTGCCTTAAAAAACAATGTGGACATTACCTGGGAGTGACAGGTTATTGCCTGCCTCCCAGCTCATACATAAACATTAGGGAGAGCAATCAGGCACATCCCACCTGTCTGTTTCATCTGTGTCTTCCACCCAGACCCTCTGGCTTCCTCAAAAGTTTTTCTTCTGTCATCACATCTAGGGTTGCTTCTTGGCCATCCATGAAACTTCTGTCCCTCGTTTTAGACATGGAAGCTGAAGATGCCTCCGGGGCAGGAGATCTGGTGTGGATCCCTGAAAGGAGGAGGCAAACCCTGCTTCCCTCCCCTCCAAAATGAGATTTCCCCATCTGTCTTGACATCTTCCGGTAGGTGGGGATGTGTGGACACTTGGGAGGTCCAGGGCCCAAGGCTGTGGTAATCTACATGAGTCAACCAAGCAGAATGCATGCACCAGCCTCCCAGGATAAGAACCGGAGGAAGCCAGATCATAATGAAGGTCAGGATTCTTGGGGTGGGAAGGGGAAATGAAGAATCGTGGCTTAAGGTGGGAACAGTCAAGGATAGAAGAGCTCCTTCTTTCTAGGGACCCGGTAAATGCCTGCACTGCACGAAGGTGATTTTTGTCCTTCCTGTCTGATTGAGTTCCCCTACCGACTCCCCAGATAGCTAGATGAGTCTCAGCATCTCCTCTCACCAAATCACACACAGGTGCTCACAATCCTGACTATGAGAACATAACCTTGGCCTTCAGAAACAAGGACCAGATCAAACTCAGCCAGTCAACACCCACAAATCAAGGTGAGCAGACACTTGCTTGTCCACCTCCACTCCAACCTTAAGGCGTATGTGGAGGGAGGGAAGGAGGGAGGGAGGGAGGGAGGGCGGGCTGGGGACTGTGGTGTTGGTGGCATTAAAGATGTTGATGCAGCAGTTGTGGTTGTGGCTCGGCTGGTAGAGAGCTTGCCCAGATTTTACAAAGCCTTGGGTTCAATCCCCAGCTCTGTATAAACTGGCCGTGGGTGGACACTTATTATCCCTGCATCTGGGAGCAGAAGCCAAAGTCATCCTTTCAGAGAGAGAGAGTTGGAACCTAGTCTGGGATACTAGAAACCCTAATTAGCCAACTAACTAACTAACGAACTAGCTAACTAACTAACACTAAATTGTGGGGCTAGAGAGGTGGGGCTAAAATAGTTAAGTGGTGCTTCACAAGCGTGAGGACTAGAGTTCAGATCCCAGTACCCACAGAACAAACCGTGCCTGCCTGTAACCCCAGCACCGAGGGGCTGGAGACAAAAAGGTCACCGGGGCATGCTGCTTTTCTTCCTTCCAGTGGCTCACAAATACCTGTACTGCTTAATCATAAAGCTGACTTTTGTCCTTCATGACTGATTTATTATAATCCTTTAGACTGTGTTTCCCCACCTGGAAATAAACAGGAGAGTCTTTGCCTCAAAGAAATAGGTGGAGTGACAAAGGAGGATAAGCCATGCATGTCCTCCTGTCTGTCTGTGTCCCCCTCTCCCACGAGTAATGGTACTAAGGTGAGAGTAGCTTTGCAGCTGAGATGACAGACTCTGGGTTTCTGAGATGCTTCTGGCAGTGTCATTGGCTGTGTGTTTAATCTTTGGGTGACATAATTTATTGGGAGGAATGTGATAGTCCCTATGTAAGTTGGTGGTACTGATGCTACTGACTGGGCATGTTTTTGGTGGTCCTTGATGTTGGTGATGGGTGGTACAGATGGTATTGCTGGCCTGGCTGGTGGGGTTTGGCTCTGGAGCTCAAATGTCCTGTGTCTCTGTCCCAGCCAAGTTCAAGCCATCCCAGGACACAGCCCAGGTCCCCCCTTGGTTGTACAGAACCATTATGATGCTGTACGTTCTCCTCGCTCTCATCTTTTTATCCTGTATCATCCTGTCTGCTTTGGTCCTGGTGAAAAGTAAGTGATGTTGGAAGCTGGGCCAGGGACGGGATTGGAGAATTACCACCAGTTCCTCTCCCTTCCCTCAACTCCATTTCAAAGAAGGTTAAAATGGAGATAGGGCCTTAAAGCTTTCCTACTCTCTCCTAAACAGATTCTCAAATGTCCAAGGAGCTGTGGACCTTGAGAGCAGAGCTTTCAAATGGTGAGTGAGAGGCCCAGAAGAGGCCCACAATGGTGCTGGTGGGAACAGGAGAAGAATGGCCATCTGACCACCTAAAACTCCATGCCCTTAGTTTCAAACACGGTGTGGAATATCCAGGAGTACCAGAATCTGCAAAAGAATATTTGGAAAGCTGTCCAGGGGGACATCAATAATGCCAAGAATGAACTCACGAGCAAAATCCAGACTGGAAATAACAAGCTGAATACAGTCTCAGCAGGTATTCCTTGCAGATCTGTTCTCTTTGGGTGAATTTGTTTGGATGTTCAGAACAAATAAGGTGCTGGTTACTCAGAGAGTAACCGGGGTCCTGTTCTCTGGATTTGGAAGGGAGCAATAGATATTTCCTCTGTGCTAGAGGAGGGGGTGTTTGAGCACTAGTAGGGGTGTGGAGGTGGCTCAGTTAGGGATGTACAACATGGGAACCTGAGTTTGGATCTCCAGTTCTGTCACCCCACCCGCTGCGTTAGGGCCATGGTAGAGATAGGCAGACATGTGATTTACCGGTTACCCAGTCTAGCCCAATGGGTGAGACCTCAGGTTCAGTGAGAGGTCCTGTTTTAAAAAATAAGATAGACATCTCTAAAGAAAAACAACTGACTGATGTCAACCTCTGGCCTCTTCACATATGTGCACACACAAGTGCAAACACATATGAATATAAACACTGCACACATGAATATACTACACACACACACAGACACACACCATTACTGTGAACCTCCACTGTAGGAATCTCCTCCACTCAAACTGGAAACTCCTAACGATGTCAGGGCTTTGTGTGCAGTTCCATCCCAGATTTACCTGTTTCCTCTTCCCCCCGCCCCCAGATATAACTCAAATCAAGAAAACTCTTGAGGCACTGGAGAAGAATGCACAGCCTAGTAAGCCAGGGCTGGGGAGGCAGACTGGGGTGGAATTCCAGACTTAGTGCTGGTCTGCCTGACCTCAGATCTCTCCTCTCTGACAGAGCCCAGTAAATAAGAGGACACCACAGCCACACCTGTGAGGACTCCGAATTGCACCTGCTAGTGAAGAGGGCCAATGGGGGTACCTAGATCGAGTGTGAACCTGCCATTTATCCTCATATAAAAATTCTCCATCCAGGGGAGTGAGTGTTAAAGAGGTGTGTATGCAAATGGGCATTTTGTGGTATTTGGAGTTTCCCTGTATTCAAGGAGAAGGTTTTACGGTGGAAAGAGAACATGGAAGTCACAGCAGGTGTAACTATTTATGGGCCACATAGGTGTATGCCCTGGCATATATGAGTATAGGCATGTCCTGGTTGGTAGCTGTTCCCGTGACCGTGAAGCCCCCAAAGTGTAAGTGACATGTGGGACATGCCTCTCCCATTATCTTGATCATGCATGTGTGGATCTGGCTGTTTTGTTATGTGTGTCATTGCAGTGGTGGGTAATGGACATCATCCTGGGGCTGTATTATGGCATGGGTCATTCCTAGTGTGCTTGGCCATATCAGCTTGTGTGTTCAGAGCATGTACACAGATGCAGCCATTAATTTCTGCACTCGTATTTATGATTCATGATGATAAATGCCAAGGGAGATGATATGACTCTGGATCTGTTTTGGGGATGCCTGTGGGGGACAGAACTTTGGGACCTGGTGGGGAGATCTGATTTAGTGTGACACGCGCCCACCTCGCCAGCAAGGAAGACACGGCAACACACCAGGATCCTTCTGCAGCAAACCTTTATTCCAATGTAAAGAGGAAGACCCCAGGCCTGGAAAAGGCACTGTTTATATACCCTTAGAGGGGCGTGTTCATTTCTGATTGGCTGCTTACTCGTTGCCTGCCAAAACGCCCTGGGATGGGCTATGACTTTGGCGCGCTTTTACCATAGCACATCAGCACAAGCAGCGGCTTCCTACAATTTAGGACTTGGATATGGAGATGAAACAAAACACCCAGTGCTGCACCAGGCATGGTGCAGCTGGGCTATAATTCCATTACTTGAGAGGCTGATAGAGATAAGAGGATCATGAGTTCAAGGCCAGCTCTGGTTACAAAAGTGGAGCTGGGGTGGGGTAGTGAGATTGCTCAGCATGCAAAGGCAGAACCTGGCCTGAATTTCAGCCCTGGGATCCACACAGTGGGAGAAGAGAATCACCTCTGAGCCCCACCTGCATACCAAGGCACATGAAAGACACAAGACTAAAATAATAATAAAAAACACCCAAAGGAATCTATATCCTACTAATGAGACATGTAAAAAATATTTCATAAAAATTTCCAGAGCGGGGTTTCTTCCCACCATTTATGTTCCCAGATGAAAGACACACACAGCCATAAAATATGCCTTAGACAGCACAATAGCTGGGCAACTGCCTAACCTCCATGCCGTTAGAATCCAGTTTCCAACTGATAACTCCAAGTCATTACTCACTAAACTCTATGTTCTGTCTGGGCTGCTCTTAACTCAATTCAGCCAGCCCAGGTGGCCATGGTTTTGTTTTTCTTTTTTAGGGTTTCTCTGTGTAGCCCTGACTATAGATCTGTAGATCAGGCTGGCCTTGAACTCAGAAATCCGCCTGCCTCTGCCTCTCAAGTGCTGGGATTAAAGGCGTGCGCCACCACTGCCTGGCTATGGCCATGTATTTTACGGCTCAGCTAACCCACTGTGGCTCTCCTCCCTCCTGCAGTCTTCCTCTTCCATGGTGGCTTTCCTTCTCCCCCTCCTTCCTCATAGTCTCTAGCCTGGTAAACCTCAACCCCGCATATGTCTCTTTCTCCCCAGCTATTGGCTGCTGGCATCTTTATTTGCCAATCAGAACTAAGTGGAGGCAGGGTCCCTCAGGCTACATGCAGACTCCAAATCTTGAAGGCCAACCTTTAGCATTACAATAAACACTAAACCTCAATAAGACAGCTCTTCCATGAAATGGCTGATAGATTCACAATAGCCAGAAAATGGAAACAGCCTAGATATCCATCAACTGATGGAAATGTGGTGCATATAAACATGACAAAATTTACTCATCACCAAAGGAAAATGAAATAATGAAATTATTAAGTTAGACAGGAAAATGGATGGAATTGGAAATCATTGTGTTAAGTGAAATAAGCCAGACTGGAAAAAACAAAGACTGTACATTGTCTCTCATATGTGGAGTCTAGCTTCCAATATGTGTGTGTGTGTGTGTGTGTGTGAATGGGTGCATGTAGAAGCCATTAATATGGAAAGATCGATGAGAGGGGTTGGGGGAGAAGCCTCGAGGGAGAGGGGTTGGAAGGGCAGTAGAGCACATGTAGTAAGAAAGTAGAAGGGAGGACCCTGAGCTGGTAGGATCTAAGTGGGATTGGGGGCCAGGAAAATGGATGACTTAGTTAGGGCTTTATTGCTGTGAACAGACACCATGACCAAGGCAACTCTTATAAGGACAATATTTAATTGGGGCTGGCTTACAGGTTCAGAGGTTCAGTCCATTATCATCAAGGCGGGAACGTGGCAGCATCCAGGCAGGCATGGTGCAGGAGGAGCTGAGAGTTCTACATCTTCATCTGAAGGCTGCTAGGAGAAGCCTGGCTTCCAGGCAGCTGGGATGACGATCTTAAAGCCCACGCCCACACCTGCAGTGACACACTTCCTTCAACAAGGCCACACCCACTCTAACAAGGCCACACCTCCAAATAGTGTCACTATTTGGAGCATAGTCAAACCACCACAATGGAGGAGCAGAGAACTGAGGGGATAGTCAACCCAAAATAGATATGTATGAAAGTATCATAAAATAAGCACTAATTCAAAATGTCAATCAAAGGACAAATGCACAGTGTTGATTTCTGCATGGACATGAACCTGTCTCTGGGGTGTGACTGTGGGAGCATACCCTTTATGCTCCAGGATGAACATAAGCATGAGTATGTCTCTGTGTGCTTGCAGCCCAAGAAGTGTAATACGTTCCTAACTGTGTCTGAACTCACGGATATATATGATCCCCTAAGTGTGTGCCCATGAGTGCACGTGTGTAGCTGAGCACACCACCACTAGTGTCTGAGCATCATGTATCTCCTTCCACCATATGTAATACAAATAATGGAAACCCTGGAGGTACTTAGGGGTAGACAAATGCGTATAAGCCCAGGCCTAGGAAGGCATAGAGTGAAACTCTAGATTTGATGCAGATCTGCCTGTTCTAAGGTCTCTCCCTTTCCCCATGGCCAGTTCTAATAGAAAGACATCAAAATCACACTAAGAAGTACTCTGTATTGTACTTGTTAGTGAAGGTGGAAAGTGGGGGAGTTACGTTAGGCTAGGTATGCTAGCACGTGTCTTTAATCTCAGCACTCAGGAGGCAGCAGCAGGTGGATCTCTGTGAGTTCAAGGCCAGCCTAGTCTACAGAGGGTTCCAGGACAGCCAGGGCTCGGTAGAAAGACTCTCTTACCACTACCACCACCACCCCAAAAAAGAAAAAGAAAGTCTACCCTAGCTTCAGTGTGTATCTGCCATTATTTGTTAATAGAAAAATCACTCGTCACGGTGAATGAGATGGAAATATACCATGCTAGGCTGGAGAAATGGCTCAGAGGTTAGGAGTGCTCCCTGCAATTCCCAGGACCCTGCTCCCTTTTCGGGCAGCTCACAACTGCTTGTATCTAGCTTCAGGAGACCTGGTACCATCTCCTGACACGCACGCGCACGGAAGCACACACACATTTTTTATTTTAATAAATTTATTTTTATTTAGATGTATATGTGTGCATGTCTGTGTGCATGCCACAGGTATACGGGGGATTTGGGGAGATCGTCTGGAGTTACAGGCATTTATAAACTGCCTGATGTGTGTGCTAGACATTGAGCTCGGGACCTCAGAACATGTGCCCTAGGGCATGCACACTATCCTGAGACCAGAGGCTAACTGCCCTAGAAAAGCAAGAGCTCACAGCCAGCTTGAGTGCTAAACAGCTAATCCCGGTAGACACGCGCGCCCCCTCGTGGCAACTTTTTCGTACACCCTTGCCCCTCTCTGAACGTAAAGAAACCCTTTTAGGAATCAGGGCGTTTTGCTAACGATCCGGTGCAGTTGCAGTAAGACTCCAGCCCTGCCTGCACCGGCCTCATTCTTTATGCATCTGAGCTGTGTCTCCCAGTCTATCTGCTTTCAATTGTGCTGTGGTGAAGTGGAAGTCCCGGCTCTGGAGCGAGCAGCTCAGGTGGAGCGGTCTTCTAAGCATTCAGCAGAGCCCTCTTCCCCGATGGCGTGTAGGACCGCCCATCCCCATCCCTGCAAACCCGGCTCCTGGTGCGTGCACACAGGGAAGGTCTCGACTCCAATCCCCTTTCACAAGAGTGCTTCACCCAGAGAGGCTCCGGAGGCTCCAGTTTGCCGTCCTTTCCTGGAACCTTCTGCTACCCAATCCCTGCTTCTTGGTCTGCTGTGGCTTCCGTTAGCCTCCTCTAGGTGGAGATGGCCCTTGTCTCCTCCCTAAAGGGTTACCGTAGCGAGGCAGGTCAGGGTCACACACAGAGAACACATTAACACATGTAATAAGAACATTTACAGATCTGTTAAATAACTAGTGACGCTGTGATGGTGAATCATGGTTCAGAGAGGGTCAAAAATTACCTAGAATATACACATCTCCTAGTGCCTGTGGAGTGCTTATGGTTCTGTGAGGTGGCTATGCTTAGCAGCAAGCACCTTTACTCACAGAGCCATGCCGCTGCCCCTTCCTTGACTGGGTTTTTGAGACAGGGTTTCTGACTTGTCTGGAACGTGCTGATTAGTCTGGGCTGATAGGAGGCCCAGGTCAACCCCCACCCCAAGTCTCAGATCTATGCAGGCAAGCGAAACAGACGACTCTGCAGTCTGTTCTTGGCTCTGCTCATTAGAGCAGAGTCACTTGTGGTCCATTTATAGTCTCTGGGGCTGTGAGGTCAGTTGTAACTCAGTGGCTGACTTTCAATCTCATTATATTGATCTTTTCTGGAGATACGGAATGTGGTCCCAGAATAGACTCAGGAATCCGTGAGGACTACTCCAAAGATAACTCAATTTAATCAGAAAACTCAAACCATACAGCACACACTCCTGAACAATATTATGAAGTCCCTCCCCTCCCTCTCCTCTCCCATCCTCTCCTCCTCTCCCCTCCCATCTCCTCTCTTCTCTTCTCCTCTCCTTCCCTCCCCCTCTCTTCCCTCTTTCTCTCCTTCTCTGTCTGTTTCTCTTCCCTCTCTTCCTCTCTCTGCCATTCAGGAAAGGTCTCAGGTATTCCAGGCTGCCCTTGAACTCATGATGTAGTTGAGGACAACCTTGGTTTTCTGATTCTCTTGCCTCTGTCTCCAAAGTGCTAGCATTGCAGATGCCATGCTTATGCATAACACGCAGCTTATGTTGTGTTAAGGATCAAACACAGGGCTTTGTGCATGGGAGGCAAGCAATCTTACCCATGGACTTCCAGGGTCCTATTTCCTCTCACCCTTTGTTCTTTCATTGGTTCTTTTGAGACAGGGCCTTACGCTATAACCTTGGCTGGCTTTGAACTCAAAACCCATTCTTCTGCTTTAGTTTCCTAAATGATGAGACTACAGGCATGAGTCACTGTA